ATGGGGAATGGCTGGGAACACTATAGTAACAGATTTTTGCCCTGAGGTTGCCACAAAGAAGAGGAAGTCAAACTATTCTCCAAGGCACCTGAGGGTAGAACAAGAAGCAATGGGTGGAAACTAATCAAGGAGAGAAGCAACTTAGACCTGAGGAGAAATTTCCTGGCAGTTAGAACAATTAATCAGTGGAACAACTTGCCTCCAGAAGTGGTGAATGCTCCAACACTGGAAGTTTTTAAGAATTTGTATTGTATTTGTATTTATTATACTTGTATGCCGCCCTATTCCCGGGGGGACTCAGGGCGGCGAACAAACACATGGGGAAGAGGGCAATACAAGAAGCTGTTGGATAACCATTTGTCTGAAATGATATAGGGTTTCGTGTCTAAGCAGGGGGTTGGACTAGAAGACCTCCAAGGTCCCTTCCAACTCTGTTATTCTATTCCATTCTATTCCATTCCATTCTATTCTATTCTATACATCTGGAAGAAAATTACAAAGCTCAGGAAAACAGATCCATTTGCTAGAATCTTGACCTGCCTTCCTCAAAATTAGAGTCGGTGGTAAGGTTCCCCTCACAACTTCAGTTTTCTTTCCTATACTGCAACTCGGGGATAGGGAACCTGAAGTACAGTTTTGGTCTTGGGCTACCCCCCAACTTATTGAAACAGCTTGGGGAAAAGGCTCCCTTTGTCATTTGATTTCTGCCCAGTAGGTAGAGATTGAAACTATTCCCTGTTGTTTCTGCCTGATGGTGGCAAGTTGGCAACTTGCAAATTCTGCATCTAAGCCTTTCCTGGCCTGACCTTATACACAGGTGGCTGCTTTCAGGAAATTGCTAAGTGCAGGAATTTTGCAAGTTACCGGATGCTCTTTACATAAATACTGTAACACTGAAATGGAACATGATGTCAAGATGTTATTTATTTATTTTATTTAGTTGGTCAAACATGTACAAGATAACAGGTATAAGTATAAACATGGACATGAACAAAGGAAATGAGTACAAATAAATGGGGACAGTAGGACAGGTGCGCTTATGCACGCTCCCTTTTCGGACCTCTTAGGAATGGGGTGAGGTCCACGGTAGACAGTTTAAGGTTGAAGCTGTGGGGGTTAGAGGATGTAACAACGGAGTCAGGTACAGCATTCCAGGCTTTGGAACAGATTAGAAATCAGGAAGAAATCCTTGACAGAAATTCTACCTATTTGAGTAGCATAGGTTACGATATGGCAGATTCCCCCCCCCCTCATTTTCACCAGAGTTTTTCAAACATCCTGGATAGTCATTTATCAGGGATAGGAAAGTAAACCCTGCAGTGTGAAGGGGGTTGGATTGGATGGCCTCTGAGGTCCTTTCCAATTGTAGGATTCTGTGACTATTCAATCACCCTCGCTATCAAGACTGAAAAAAAGGAACACCTCGAATGGCTGAGGACTAGGATGTTTAAAGGTCTGACTTAGAATAGAATAGAATAACAGAGTTGGAAGGGACCTTGAAGGTCTTCTAGTCCAACCCCCTGCTCAGGCAGGAAACCCTACACCACTTCTCCCATATGAAGCCTGCCTAATGTGTGAAGGTCCTGTGAAGATACCTGCATTTGGCTGGGGTGAGGGATGGGGTCTCTTTAATGGTAGGCTGTGCTGGGTTTAGCTACAAACAGTTTGCCTCCCTCAGTAAAGTTTGCCACAACCTTAGTCAGTCAGCTATGTACTGTCGGTGGTGCCAAGAATTCTGAATTATTACCATGATTACTATTGATCATTAACACATACAGGTAGTCCTCAACTTATGGCCACAAGTGAGCCGAACGTTTCTGTTGCTAAGCGAAATACTTGTTAAGTGAGTTTTGCCTCATTTTACGACCTTGCCACCCTTATGAAGAGAATCCCAGCAGCTGTTAAGTCAGTAACATGGTTGTTAAACGAAATCTGGCTTCCCTATTGGTTTTACTTGTCAGAAGGTCACAAAAGGGGGATCACATGATCCTGGGGACAGATCGTGAGTCAGCTGCCAAGGGTCTGGATTTGGATCATGGTGACCAATGGGGATGCTGCAGCGGTAGTAAGGGTGAAAAACAGCCATAAGACGCTTTTTTTGCAGGACCGTTGTAACAACGGTCACTAAACGAACTGTTGTAGATCGAGGATTACCTATATTCATGCGTCTGTGTTATCTCAAGGGAGAAGCTCCCGAGTCGACCCTTCCAGGGGCTTCTCCTTTCCGACCCGCCCTGGCTGGCGGCTCTATGGAGGCTCCATTTGGGAAATCCACCCCCTCACCCAAATTGCTGCTTTGGGCGGGGCGGGAAAGAAGAGAAGTCCGGCCAACTTTTCCACTCGGCTTCCCGGAAAGTGGGACGACCGCCTCCCATCCGGATATAGGCAGCTCTTCCCTCTTAGCGGTTTTCTCCACAAGTGCGGGCTCCGCTTTTTTTTTTCCGCCGAAAGAAAATGTTGCAGGGCGAAGCGCAACTCCTTCCTTCCTTCCTTCCAATTGCGCAATTGTGAAGGAAGAAGGTTCTCCCACTTACCCACCCCGCCTGCCCAAAGTTGGCCCGTCCTGGGCTTCCCGCCGCGACTTACCGGCCTGATCCTGCTGGAGACCCCTGGGCTGACTTCGTCGGAGCGGCAGAGAACGACTCAAGCTGGGCGGGACGTCGGAGCAGCTCAAATACGCGTGGGCCCGTCCCCGGACCGCCCCGTCCTTTCCGCTCCAGCGGCAGCCTGACTTGCCACGGCCGGCTCCCCCGCTCGTACATTCACATCACACCCATTTCACAGAGGTGCTTGATGCTCTCTGAGCTTGGTGGGTTTCTTGCAGACGTTTCATTACCAGTGTAGGTAACATCATCAGTGCCTCGAGTAAGGGAAGCCGCCACCTGGGACAGTTCAACCCTAAGCTACCAATATTCTATCAGTGCCACTTGGCAGAGTTGTGAAGATAAATTGGGCTTGGGAGTTGTGTTTGTGCGGAAGAGCCACACAACCATATCTGCTGGATCTCCCAGAAATGAGATACGTGGGTAGTGTCTTGAGATATGGATGCCATTCCTAATCAATGCAGGTTCTTCCTCTAGCCCTAAAGTTATGAAATTTGGAGATCGAATAAGACGTAGAGGGGAAGGTAAAGGCTCAGACCTCCTTTCTGAGCAGTCCTAATGACCTCATGAAGCAGCACTGACCATTTGCAGTCCTGCAAACAGAGGGAGCATCTTCCATGATGGTATCGGTGATAGCCTGTCTCCCCAAGACATTAGCAGGGGATTTTTATTGGCCTGCAAATGGACTTTCTGGAAAAGCTTCCCTCTTTAAGAATCAGGTGAGCGAATATTAGGCTGGTTTTGTCAAAAAGAATTTAAAAAAAACTTTCTTAAACAGTTGTTAAGAAAGCAGGAATCTAACAAGTGTGGTTTCACCCAGATATTCCTATTCAATAGGGCTGAAGCGGCCCAGTTGATTAAGTCCTTATCATTCATAGATGAGCTGTGTTTACACAAGACACTACCCATTTTTTTAAAAATCACAGCTTATAAAAGTGGACCAGAGTTTGAGATTGCACAACACACTGATATTTTTAGACACAGAGTAATCAGATTAGGCAATCACAGCCTTATTGTCATGAAAGCCAGGGTGGAGAATACTTGCAAAGAAGATGTCAGCCACAAAGCACTTTCAAAACTCAACAGTTTTTTTTATCTCTCCCTCTTCCTCCCTCCCTCTCTTCCTCCCTCTCTCTCTCTCTCTGTTACATACTGTCAGTTCCAGTTTTTCATGAAGCATGTGGGAAGTGGAAACCCAGAAAACAACATTTTCTTTAACTGTAGAATGGTTTTATTCATTGATTCCTACACCAAGATTGAAAGAGTTTTACCCCATGTCTTTCAACCTTGGCCACTTCTTTTTTTTTTTAATAAAGTTTTTTATTTTTTCCTTTCAAATACATTCACAAATATACATTCTCATAAGTACGATTAACTTTTATCTATTAACTACTAACATTTATCACTATCTTCTTACAAATATAGAAAACACAGATGGGTACCTCCATCTTGTTTTGCAACAACCCTGCTCCTTCCATCTTCTCAACCTCCCTTCTCTGCTTTCTTCTTTCCTCTGTTCCTTCCTCTTTTCTTCTTCCCCTCTCTTTCCCCCACTCCTCTCTTCTTCTTTCCCTCCCTCCTACTCTTACTTCTCCTCCCTTGCTTCCTCTGCTTTGCCCTTTCTTTCTTTCCCTCCTCATCTTCCCTCCTTTCTGTTGGATTCTCGGGGTGGCATTTCAGTGATGCCAACTTTATATTTACGTACAAATAATTTTCTCTGTAACATTTTACTTCCCAATAATAAATCCACTTGTACCATTTTTTTTTACTTGCATACTTGTATTTTAATACTTTTCTATAACCTTGGCAACTTCTAGTGTGGCCTTCAGCTCATAGAATTCTCTTCAACAGCCATGCTGGTTGTGGAATTCTGGGGACTGAAGTCTACGCACTTGGAAATTGCCACTGTTGGAAAATAATGGTTGCTGGAATTGGGTGTGTCTAGTTTAATGAAAAGAAGGGGAGACATGATAGTAGTTTTCCAATATCTCAGGGGCTGCCCCAAAGAAGAGAGAGTCAAGCTATTTTCCAAGGCACCTGAGGGTAG